GGGCTTGAACTCAGGGCTTGGATGCTGTCCCTAAACTCTTTTCGTTTAAGGCTAGTTCTCTATCACTCTGAGTTATAGTACCACTTCTGGTTTTTGAGTAGTTAATTAGAGGTAAGAGTCTCATAGGGACATTTCTTCCTAGGCTGGCTTCGAACTGTGATCCTCAGATCTCAGCCTCCTAAGTAGCTAGGATAACAGGTATGAGTCTCTGATACCTGGCTGGATGTTCTTTTTTTTTTTTTGGTCTTTTCTTTTTTGGTACTGGGGATCGAACCCAGGATGTTGCAGTAGCTGCTAGACAAGTGCTTTGCCACTGAGCTACAATCCAGCCCTGGATGATATTCTTGAAATGACAAAATCCTAGGACTAGAGAATGGAATACCAGGGCTGGGAAGAAAGCAGAGAATAGCTGCAGAAGAGTGGTTTGTAGACTTTTATGTGATGATGGAAATGTCTCTTTACTTCATCAAGGTCAGTACTTTCCATTTTTCTGTACTGGTACTGGGGCTTGAACTCAAAGACTCATGTTTTTACTTGGCTTTTTCAGTCAAGGCTGGTGCTCTACCACTTGAGCCACACCTCTATACATCTTTTTTTTTTGTTGGTCAACTGGAGTCTCTTGGATTTGTCCTCTGAGCTGGTTTCCAACTATTGTTTCTCAGATCTCAGCCTCTGAGTAGCTAGGATTACAGGCATGAGGCACCATGGCTGGTTCCACTACTTATGCATTTTTATAAGATATCAACACGTAATAGATGTGGAAGGACAGTATGTGTGATCTCTGGGTTTCTGTTACAAGTACACTTACCTTAAATGTTTAAAAGGAGGTCTAGGGCTGGGAAGGTGGCTCAATGGTAGAGCGTTTGCCTTGCATGCTCAAGGCCCTGGGTTCGATTCCTCAGTACCACATAAGCAAAAAGAAAAAAGCCGGAAGTGGGCGCTGTGGCTCAAGTGGTAGAGCGCTAGCCTTGAGCTGAAGAGCTGAGGGACAGCGCCCAGGCCCAGAGTTCAGGCCCCACGACCGGACCCAA